GCCACATTCCTTACATCTGTAAGATCTCTCTCTAATATGAACCTTTTGATGTGTTTTAAGTTGTGAGTTTTGGTTAAAGGACTTGTCACATTCCATACATTTGTAAGGTTTCTGCCCAGTGTGAATTCTCTGATGTCTTCTAAAATTTGAGTAACAGGAAAAAGATTTGTCACATTCTTTACAACTGTAAGGTCTCTCTCCAGTATGAACTCTCTGATGTATTCTAAGATGTGATTCCCAAGTAAAGGATTTGTCACATTCCATACATTTGTAAGATTTCTTTCCAGTATGAATTTTCTGATGTACAGTGAGTCTTGAGGAATTACTGAAGCATTTCCCACATATCTCACACTGTTGTAGTTTCTCTCCAAGGTAGATTGGTTGTTGCAAACGACTGTATGTAGAGCTGAAATAATCATCATATTTTCTCTGCCTGTGCTCTATCTTTTCAGTGTAGAATCTCTGATCTTGAGTAAGGTTGGAACTCAAATTTAATAATTTCTCACAGTCTTTCGATTTGCAAGGTTCTTCTTCAGTATGCATGCTTTCATGTCTATGTTGGTTTGAAGACTCAATAAAGGTGTCCCTGTGATTACTGCACTTGTAGTTATTGGAGTTTTCAGGAGTTTCAGTTGTTTTATAACAAGCACATGTGCAGGGGTCATGAACCATTTTACCAAGTTCAATACACTGACAAGACTCCTTTTCAGTCTTCACATGTTGATGGACAGGATCATATTTGCAATAGTTCTCTGAAAATGAGTACATCTCAGATTAGCAGGGCTGCTATTAAACATTTGATAAATGATGATGGACATCAGTTTTCTCTTATGATAAGTCAATGAGCAACCACTTAGACATTTTTCTTTCACTGCATTTCAATGTATTCTCACAAAAACAGCAAAACAGCCTTCAAGGGTTTGTGATTACTAGTAAATGACTTGTCTTTATCAAAAATGCCTAATGGTGCAAGATGGATCAGGAAATCTTGGAATCAGTAATTAGCTTTGTGACAGCTTATGACTGTGGGACTGTGGGACACGAAAAACCTCAATTACATCTAATAGTTACAACAGGCAGGACGCATCCTGGGGCCATAAAACCACAGTAAGTTAATGATCAGGTATCCTTTAAAGTGGAATTGAATATCACAAAACCATTTTCACATCTTGCTTTCTCTTTCACTTGAAGCCTTCAAGGTTGTCCTGCTAATTCACTAACCCACCATAGTTGTGGATACTCTCTGTTCTCCACATTCCTGGGCAATCTCATTTGCTCTGGACAGCTGTCCAGATCTACGTTTCATCAACCACATGTTCTGTGTGGTAGCCCATGAACCATGATAGAATTTTTATAAAGAATACAGAAATCTAACATAATACTGTGCTTAGTACATGAAGAAAACATAAAGTAGAGGAATGTGGGAATGATTTTCAATGGCTCTTTCCCATCAGAATCTTTAGCATACTTCAGGAGTACTTCTCAATTTGACCATCTTGAGATTTCTCACAATTAAAACTATGTGAGGTACAGTGATGTAATTGGAGCTTAAAAATATGGGTATAAATATATGATACTAAATTTCTGAATGAATTGTGGAATCAAATTAGGGGTGTATGACACTTCTAACATGCAAAATGGAAAGAAAAATATTAAATACTGTGAAAAAGTTGTGTTCTACTTCCAAACATTCCCTAGTCTTCTGTTGTTTCTGAGGCTTAAGAGAGAGTTTACAACCTATAAAGCCAGTATATAAAAAGGATTACTTTGAAGCAAAATGTCCTCACCCACAGAAACCAGGTTGCTGTAATTCTCCAACATCACATCAATGTACAAAGCCCTCTGAGTAGTGTCCAGGCATTCCCACTCCTCTTGGGAGAAGTCCACTGTTACATCCTGGAATGTGAGTGGATCCTGAAACAAAAACGTTGTTAGCCCACATGCAACCAGACAGAGTGTTTTCCTCGATATAAGTAGCCTTGAGGAAATGAAGGATGTAGACGATGAAGACATTCCACAATAAGATGATTTCAATATAGTCACATCACATGATTGATTTTCTAACTCTGTGGAAAGAGGATAACACAATAGGCTTACATACAATATACACAAAACAACACACATTTAAGGTTTGGGCATGGATGTCTATTATGGATGCTGTGTTGATGTCCCACAGAATCACAGTGTACATGGCTCAGAATGAAATTTCATGATGAGGAAATGTGCTTTAATTCCTGTACCTGTAGATCATAGTAAGAACCTGCCATTCGACATTAAACAGCATATGTATGAACACCAAATTTTGACAAAGAAACCAAAAGTGTACAATGGAAAAAAAGAAAGCATCTTCAACAAATGGTGTTGGCATAACAGGATGTCAACAAGTAGAAGATTGCAAATCAATCCATATCAGTCACCGTGCATCAAGCTTAAGTCCAAGTGGATCAAAGATCTCAACATAAATCCATTTACTCTGACCCTGATAGAAGAGAGAGTTGGAAGTAATCTTGAACGCATTGGGACTGGAGAACACTTCCTAAATATAACACCAGTAGTACAGACAATGAGAGTGACAATTAATAAATGGGACCACCTAAAACTGAGAAGCTTTTTCCAGCAAAGGACACAGTCAATAAGACAAAACAAGAGCCTTCAGAATGAGTAAAGGGGTCTTCACCAACCCCACATCTGACAGAGGACTGATATCCAGAATATATAA